ATATTCTCCCAAACTGAACGGGGCAGCATGGAGCTCTATGGCATGCATCCAACACTACACCATAGTAGAAGTAGAAATGACTGTTTACAACATGGCATTTCAGCATTTTTAACAGTGTCCTCGTCTTTTCCGACAGTGCGAGCTTTTTCTCTCCAAGAATTATTAACAACATGTTGATCACGGTGATCTCTGAGAGCTGAATCATACAAATGTCTGTATTTACGAACCTCTGCCGTACTATTTCTTGCCGGTCCGCCATGTTTTTCCGTGTCCGTCCGTCCGCGTGGTTAGAAATTTTCCGAGGTGCGCGTTGCGGAAATTCTGGGCCGTGCGGAGGCGCGGTGGAGGGGCGTGGTTGTTAAAATGACGCAACTTTTCCGCGCGGAGCCGTGCGGACCTTGTGGACGCGTCAAGCATAAACCAACCTTAACCCTCTAACTTGTCTGTTTTTTTTCCTCCCCTTTATTTGAACCTGTAAACATTGTAAATCCACGTGATCCCATGGAAGTGAAGGGAGGTGAACCTCAGTGTAGCTTTCTACTTGAGCAGATTACTCTTTTTCAGCTTTTTTCTTCAAACTGCTCCCTTGACTATTTGTAACTATTCAGAATCAGAATAGCTACCTTGTGCATATACACGGACGTTTGTCCTTGGAGAATTTCATTAATTCCTTCATTGAACAGATGAGTTGAGCTGATACCAGGTTTTTATGAGGTCAAGTAGCTTCTTATCTGTGAATGTCAATGTCAAAGCCTCACTTTCTCCTCAGGGTCTAAGAGGTCAGAGCTGAGGTCAAAACCAATCAACTGGAGAGCCTTATGGGTTGCATATAAACACCTCTCAGTATATTATGAATGATACTTAAGACTGCACAAAGCCATCATTTGTTACTGTTTATGTTCTTTGCAATATGGTACCAGATGACCAAATAGATTTTCTATCTTTAGTTTTGCATGTTTTTTTTTTCTTCATTTTTGCAAGTGATTGATTTACAAGTTGTTCATCTCAAATTCCCTCATCTGTTGTTGTCTTTTCTCCTTTCCCCACACCCTCCCTTGTAGTGTACTGCTGTGGACCAGTGCGTCTGCGTACCAAACGCTCCTGAGGTTTTTCTCTGGCTCCTGCCTTTCTCCATCCCAACAACCTTCCTATTTTATCAAATCTTACACAGTTTCTAGTCCGTCTTATTTATACTGGACTTTCTTCTTTTCACATCTTTTTCTTTTGATTTAGTATCCCTGTTTATTTGTAATTCCTTAGTTTTAATTTCCTTAAACCTGAAATGTTTTAAGACAATCTTGCTTCATTTCTTTTTGACTGAAATTAAAAGAGCATTTTGGTTTCATTTTTATAATCCATTATAAGCTTGTTTTACATTTTATTTTATCTTTTGGTTGCTGGTGCAGGAGATCTGAGCTAAGTAGTTCTGTAAGTGGACTCACAGAATGTGGTCAGGACAGTAAGACAAAGTAGGCTATGTGATACGCAAATCTGTGTGATAGCTGCATATCGATTGGAGGGCAGTGAATGTTTGTCTCTCTGTGTAGCTGCTTGGTTAAGAAACTTGAAACCTGAATGGATGCCGTTTTTGGCGATAGCATGATCTATGCAAAAAGTGTTACTTTTATCAGATAATGGCTTATATACTTAATAACACAATTACAGCCTTTTTCTAAAGTTTTTATTTTTCATATAAGTTTTGCTTTATTTCTGTAAAAAAAATTTTATTGAAATTGCGTTGGTGCCTCATGTTTTTGAATGCTGCTAGCATTTCTAACACTTCCTTTTAGTGTCAGCTCATGACCCAGCTCATGCCAACGAGGGATTTGGCTAAGACGGACAGAAATCGCAGTGTGATCTGGGCTTTAAATATGAGTTATATTTGTCAGCCTGATTTGTACCCGGAAATGAAATGATCTGTTTCTGTTAAGCTCCGCCCACGTCCACTCCAACAGAACACATCTACAACAGCATCTCAGGCGAGTCTACTGTTGTGTTGGCCGTGGTAGTCCAGTGGTTAAAGTGCCTGCCTTTCATTTTGTTTTGCCATGTCCTTATGCTTGTTTGACTCCTGGTGTTGGCAGTCATGTATTAAGCCAGCTAAAGCAGATTAGACTTTTTTTATATTTTAGTTTTATTGATTACTTTCTGCAAAATATTTTGTCTCTAAAATTTGGTCGCTTCCAAGCAGCATTTTATTTGATTTATTATGCTCACCTGACATGGACTCACACTGGCTAAATAAACAAAGAAAGTAGAAAAAAAAATCCTAAATACAAAGGTTAGTCCAAACATTTTAAACAGTTTACCAATAAAGGGTTGAAAACTTAATAAAGGCAAGTGTAGCTTTAAAAAGGGGAAATAAGTTACTACTGAGACTGGAAGTCGAATTTGTCAGAATATTCGCTCTGGTTTAAACTGTGTAGTTAATTCATCTCTGGTAATATCCATTGAAATGTTGTTAAAATGAAATAAATGATGCCCAGTTTAGAAAAAAAAATGGATGGCTTTTTGACATAACCATATAAATCGTGTCCAAAATACATGGGAGCAGGTCTAAGTCTCTGGCTGACATCATATTAGACGCCATGTTTCCTGCTACATGAGCCCGTGAGGACAAAACGCATTTACTGATTTGCAGCAAGCCGTTACAGAACTTTAGTCGTACAAAAACGTTGTTGTATTACACGTTTACCTTTTCGCTCAGTGCCAGTGATGAAACTCTGACGTGCTTGTCATTTTGCTGGAGGTTGAACAATCTGACAAAGTACTCATTTGAAAACCGCACACCAAGGGATTTTTGACCCTAATGGCCATCCATCGGTAAGGTCTTACTCGAACACAAAACTGCTTGCTTGCTACGGTTTAGGTATGTACTGCCCCCTATTTCCAGGGAAAATACACAGTCATCTGTGACATCAAGGCAGAAGCAGCTGCAGCATGAAATCATCTGCTGTATTCCTGCAACTCGGATTGGGTGTTAGTGACCTACTTCCAGAAGAGGCGGATTTCGGGTCTGAGACTAGCTTCAGGGGGAGGAGCAATGGCCTGATAAGCTTTTTAGTCGACTAAAATAAGACTTAAGTTAATTAGACTTTTAGTCAAAAGGCTAAGACTTAAACTAAACTAAAATTTCTTGTCAAAATTGACGCAGCTAATTATGTGCGTGCGTAATGAATGGAGGCCCCAGGGGACTGTGGATGTGTGACAGTTTAGTGAGACCGACAACCAGATGTTCAGTTGTTGCTTTCTGTAGGAAACGGGTTATTGGCAGAGGTTTTTAGACAAATGGGAGAGAACTACTTTTTATTTAATCTCCTCAATATATTCATAGCTATATTATGTTAGAACATTGTTAAGAGGCTTGAAATAAGTGTTTTAAGATCATTTGGTTTCCAAATTTGCCATTGCAGCTTTAAAACCCGACTGGTCCTGGGCTGACAAGGGCGTCCCCGAATGTTTGGAAGTGAAGCAAAACTTTACTGTTTTAATTTTTTTTACATGCAAATATTTAGTTTTAGGTTCATTACATTTAAACCAAATCAGTTTTATGTCACATGCATATTTGGATTTATTTGACATATGGAGCACATAATTTACCAATGTTTGCCTTTACAATTAAACAACTGAAAACTGGACAAGGATTTTTGTATTTTTATTTAGGTATGTGCACATATTTTCATGGATGAAGGTTGACTAAAAGCATTTGATTGTAATCGCTGTTTTGGTGTGAAAACACATTTTGTTCATTTAGAACAAAAACATGTGCTTAAGTATTTTTCTGACTTGAAAGTTTGAGATCTTTGCACGTTTGCTTGAGTGTAAGCATGCAGGAGTGCATAACAGTTTGTGTGCACGTGTGTACATGCAACTCATTGCGTCTGTGTGTGTGTGTGGATATGTGCGGATTGTGGCTGTAACTGGAATGATCCAGTAAATGCTGGGAAGAAGCTGGGAGGACAGCCCTGTGAGTCATCACCACATCTCCTGGAACTGACTGTTCCCTCTGCATCATTAGGTCGAGACCCAAATCTGACAAGCTTCTCATACGCACAAACACACAAGCAGCAGGATGCACGATACACATCCAAACTTTCACCTACACCCGATACTTAAAAAAACAAGGACATGGACTGTTTAACTCATTTTAAAGCATCTCTTGTTGAATTCCCAGGGCCGTGTGTGCTGGCTGGCCTGCAGCAAGCCAAACAAACGCTACATTGATTTTTATCCTCTTGGCCTAGAGTTCAGTGAGATCAGTGACACTCAAAATAAGTTCCCCTAAACCCACAGGACTGACCAGCCCTTGACTGTACTGAGATGAGAGGGTGTGAGGCAATACCATCTTTCTTTTAAACCTAAAACAGTATGTTAATAGTGTGATTAAACACGTTTGTTTACAGTAAGTCCATCCACACTTCATGAAAAAGTATTTCATGAAGCCAAAAGTGGTTGTGCTCAAGGCTGGAATATTTGGGGTGTGCGTGTGTGTGCGTGTGTGTGCGTGCGTGCGCGCGCGTGTGTGTGTGTGTGTGTGTGTGTGTGTGTGTGTGTGTGTGTGTGTGTGTGTGTGTGTGTGTGTGTGTGTGTGCGCGTGTGTGCGTGTGTGTGTGTGTGTGTGTGTGTGTGTGTGTGTGTGTGTGTGTGTGTGTGAGAAGAATAAATGGTAAAATAGAAATCCATCTTTTATTAGATTTAGTTTCTCTGCATCTTGTGCTTTTTACGTGTTTTCCTTAACATTACCCTTAGCTATGCTCTATTTGTATCACTTGTGAGTGTGAAAAAGAAAATGCAGCAAAGATTTGAACTGATTTATTTCTTTTCATGAAATCGAACACCTAAGGTCTTTGATTTTGTGAATTGCCTTGAGACGACTCTTGTCGTGATTTGGCGCTATATAAATAAACTTGAATTGAATTGATTTGTTGTTAAGCATGACTAACATTTGTCCATGTGTTGAGAACATCCCATTCTGAAATGAATACTGTCTCCTTTCCCAGCTTGGCTGCATTCCTCCAGAAGCTCATCCTCCAGTGTCCAAAGACAACAACCCTTCGCACCGGAGGCTGAGACTCTGTCTTTGGACAGCAGTGGTGTTTGCAGCATCCTTCCTGACCAGGGCTCCCCACCATCTGAAGGGATGGCAGAGGGTGAAGATTCTGGTATTGTTAGTTCTCCATCTGATACCCAGCCAGCCTCCCCAGACGAGAGTCTATCAGTGGATGGAAGAACTGAGGACATAGGAAAGAAACTCCTGGAACCACAAATGGACACTTGGAGTGACAGTGATGAGGGTTGTGCCACCTGGAGACCAAAACAAAGGTAAAGAGAAAGTCACAGGATGGGTGGAGCAAAGCTAAGGGTCAAAAAGTGAAGTAATTGTTTCATTGCTTATAATGATAATTAGGGATGTAAGAAAGTATTTATACACTGAAATAGTTCCATTTTGTATGATACTATATCAATACTTATAAATAGTGCATCTATATTTTTAGATGTGGTGCAAATCAAACCCCAACTGCTAGGTGGCAGCGGTTTATTGCTGTGATCTGGAGATAACACTTGAGTGTGTCTTGGTAGCGTTTGATCAGAGTTTTTTTGGTCTCCCTAAATTCTATCTTAAAAATTGCTAATTTGTGGCATTGGTGGATGGAACAAGACATGATGTCCCAGATGTGCTCAATTGGATTCTGGTCTTTGGAACTGGCGAGCCAGTCCATAGCGTCAATGTCTTCATCTTGCAGGCACTGCTGACACACTCTAGCCACACCAGATCTAGCATGGCCTTGCATGAAGAGGAACCCAGGGCCAGCCGCACTAGAATATTGTCTCACAAAGGGTCTGAGTATCTCGTCTCAGTACCTAATGACAGTCATGCTACCTTTGGTGAATGCATGGAGGGCTGTGCAGACCCCCAAAGAAATGCCACCCGACCCACTTCCCAAGCGGTCATGCTGGAGGATGTTGCAGGCAGCAGAATGTTCTCCACTGTGTCTCCAGAATCTGTCACGTCTGTCACATGTGCTCAGTGTGAACTTGCTTTCATCTGTGAAGAACGCAGGGTGCCAGTGGCAAATGCCAAACGTCTTAAGCTGCACTACCTGAGCCACTTGTGTGGGCTGTAGACCCTGTCTCATGCTACCACTGGAGTGGTGTTGCTTCCTAAGTGAACGGTTTGATTTCACAGAAGTGTGCTTGACTTGGGAGTTACATTTTGTTTAAGTGTTCCCTTTATTGTTTTTGAGCAGTGTGCATGTTTCTGCTTCCTTTTAGGAGATGAACGCTATCTTCAGTTATTATAACTTCCAGCAAATCAGTATTGAGAAGAGCCATTGCGTTATTTGTCAGAGTATTATGAAACCTTGGTCTTACTAATTGTCCTTTCAGACAGAATGTGGTGATTGCGCTCATGTAATTTAAAACTATAACAGTAGAGTTAGGGTTATGCGCTGTTTGATCTAACTCAGCAGAATTCTCTAAACTGTTGAATATACATGTTAAGGACAATTTATCTAAGTTCATCTATATTTCCTGTGTAACGGCTCAAAAGCTGACTATCATACGGCACAACTTGTGGCCAATTCTGGCACTCAGCTTTTTTATGCTGGGCTTTCATGGTTCTAGACCCCAATTCAAAAACTGTTTAGAAATTTAAAAAAGTACCCCCCCCCCCTCTCTTTATTTTATTGTATTTATTTATTTATTTATTTGTTTATTCATTTATTTTATTTATTTTTTTAAGTTGTTGTGAAATGAGTCTGGTAGCTTGCCCAGACCAAAGACCTTGGCTTGATGCTCTAACAAACCCAATGAAGCTAGGGTCTGTTCCTGGCTTCTCACTATTCCAGGAAGGCACAATAACCCCATTTTCTCAGAACCATTGAGAAAAGGAGGACCGGTCCAAGCGTCTTAGAAGACAGATTTTATTTGGTTTGGCTGCCTTGTTCCAATTTGTTATGGCTAATATGACACTAATTCAGTAGAATGCTCTTTGGAACCCTTAAAGAAAAGTGGAGGAAGTTAGTAAAGCAGCATGTTTCAAAGCCAGGAAGCTTTCATAAAAATAGAGCATAGTACTTGTTTTTACTTCTATCTACTGCTAAACTCCACTCACCCGTTACATTTGACTGGGAGTAGTGCAGGAAAATGTACTGAATACTAAAAGGAAAGTTTTTACATTTGTTCAGAGCTGGTTGCATTGATTGCACTTAAATGCACACGAACTAGGTTTTGCATTCTAAAACAAACTAAATGTGTCTTGTTCCATGGGAGTCTTTTATTCATGCATATTTTCTTTGCCATTGTCAGGCATGACACAAACCCTCAGGAGCAATCAGTCAACGGCTCTGAAGATGACTCAGAGCTCACAGCTCAGCTCCATCAGACTTTGGCTGATTTGGAAGCAGACCTTGCAGGTAAATGTGGGGGTGGGTTTCAAAAACTCAGCTCAGCTAAAATATCTTCAGTGAGGCAGACCAGTCCTATATGTTGGAAGCTCTAGAATGTGAATACAAAGGCAGCCTATTGGCTATTGGCTGTGTAACAGAATACAAATTAATTTGCTTTCCTAGATTCAGAACATTTTGTTTGTAATACGTTTGCAACTGAAACAGCTATCACTCTCTTATGTCCCTCTTTTTTAGACCATGCAGATGTTTCAGCTAGCGATACCTCCTATACCGAATCCCCTGACAGTAATGATGTACCCGTGTCCTTAGTGGACATGTACGTGCCAGTCACTGCCATAGATGAGGTACTAGAAGACTATGAATGTAATGATGAGTATGAAGTGAAACCGCATACAAAGACTAGTTCAACTGGTAGCAAAGGTAAGATTGATCTTTGTTTACACATCTTATGGAAAAGGTTACTCATCAGCATGTTTTAATCAAATGTATTATCTATATTTGTCTATCTTCATTACAGAAGCTGGCTTTAGACACGATTCTGATGTGGTGCCACAGAACCAAAACAACAATGCTTATACAGCTGCTGCCAGTTGTAGAAAAAGTGGTAAAAATGATAAGAAATCTGAGCAGGGCGTTGAGTCACAAGAGAGCCAACTTACAGATGGGAAAAAGGAGGAGATGACGCAAAAGAAGAACATTGCTGATACTAATATGGCCAAAGACGATAAAAATACTATGGTAGTGAAGTCTGACCCTGACATCCAAAAGAAGAGTGAGACAGTGGAGATCAACCCTGAACATGTGAAAATGACCCGTCAGAAATCTCAGCAGCAGGAAACTAATCTTTCTTCAGGGATTCAGAGATCACTGCTTGCAGAAAACAATAAAGAGATACAGAGAGCCTCCCAAACCAGCTCCAGTTTTAGCTCTTCACACGGTAAAATCACTCCCAATGTCACATCGCGTTTTGGTTTGAAAACATTCACAGTGGTCCCTCCCAAACCCTCCGTCATACATCTGACACAGCCAGCTGTCACCCTGAGTAACGGTGCCATAAAGATAGACGATCAAGGAAATATGGTGACAGCAGGGTTCTCTCACAATAAAGTCAGCAGGTCATCCGATTCCGAAAGTAACAAGGGTGGCCCTCATTGTGAGAAAGCTCAATTGTTTTGGAGTTCTAATGAAAAACAAGAAAATGTCATAACTCAAAGGAAAGGGCTGATTGAAAAGGCTGAAGACAGCACTGGTGGCTTAGAAACCAAATCAAGGACCAGCAACACAGAGCAAACACTACACAGTTCCTTCTCTGAACCTGTGAAGATAGTCCAGCCAAAAGTGGTGGTGAAAGGAAAAACTGAAGAGCATGTGAAAGACATCACAGCTGCAAACAAGACATGGGCTGAGACGGAGAGCAAGAGTTCAGTGTCCAACAGTGTTCAGGTGCCAAGTAAACCCGTCCTTCCCCCTCTTCCACCTTCAGACTTGAAAAAGCAGCTGAACCTCCTTAAACCATCTAGGCGAACATCAAGCCAATATGTGGCTTCAGCTATTGCTAAATACACCTCTGATAAACCTACCAGCATCTCTAAAGTCTCTGAGTGTTCAGAATCATTGAAGTCACAGACTGGTGCTGGCTTCCAGAGATCAGGACCAACTGTCCAAGTGACTCCACTCTCATCCTCCCATCCATCTTTGTCAAATAATACCTCTGCACACATCTTTCATGGTAGCAAGAGGCCTGTTAGCCCTTCTAAGTGTGTGTCACCGAGTCAGAGAGGTTTGGGAGAAGTGAACTTGAACAAGGATGGTGTTCAAAGCTGTGCTATGTTCAAAGAAAGTTCCAATGTGTTGTACACAGAAATGGCCAAGAATAATCACAGTCAATACAATGGATCCGTCCAAAAAAGTGAGATTGTCAACAATAAAGATTATATCAAACATGTTCAACACAGAAGTTCAAGTCCACCAAAAAGCAGCACTCCGCAGCCATCCTCCCAACCACTGAACTCCACTAAGATCACATCCCAAAAACAAATAAATGTAAGTAGAAACCCGGGCTCGTGATGAGGGAATTTTTCTAATTAGCGCTATGAACATTTATTCTTTGTGACAAATATGTGATTGTATTTTTCAGGGCACAACGGATACAACTCAAGATAACCTGAAGTCCTCTACCCCAGTATCAAACAGTTATGTGGCTCCCGGGCCTGGGCCTGTGACTGTGTTTGGACCCATCAAAAAATTCAGACCAGTCATTTGTAGATCTGTTGAGAAAGAGACCTCTCTGCACAGTAGCCTGATGGAGGCGATCCAAACAGGTGGAGGCAGGGACAGACTGAAGAAGGTCAGTCATAGCTGAGTGCAGCATGGTGTGAACGGAACAGTTGGTAAAAAGAAAAATGAACTGCTTGAAATTTCAGTGCAAATTTAAAATGTAAGAGCACTTGCCCTGTTACAGAAGAAGGTAAACAGTAGGTCGAGTAAGTTGCTATGTTTGTCTGATGACAGGTGTTTTTATTCATTATTAGATCTCCTCCGGACCTTGCAACCAGGACAAAGTGACTTATGTTGATGAGGAAAATGAAAGATCTGCTCTTCTAGCTGCCATAAGAGCCCAGAACATCAGCAGGCTAAAGAAGGTGAAAAAATGTTTTAATTTAAACAAAATCACTTTGCTACTGTGTTCAAGTACTAAGCGGTATGTATTCTTGCTTTGGGAAGTCCATGGCAAAGTGTTAAATGTTTCTAGTTGGCTTGTTTTTTACTGATGTCTGATATAGTCTAATTCTTATTTTCCAATATCGATGTATACCAGTTCTAATATTAGTGGCAGCTGGTGAATTCTTTTTTTTTGGGGGGGTGGGGTGGGGGGGCAAAGCTTTTGTGCTGAAAAAAGCATGCCAGCAGAGATTTGCATGACCTGTTATGGGAAGGTGCATATGAATAACGAGATTTTTTTAGGGTTAGAGTTAGAGAAAGAAAATATCGATATGGCAATATATCGTGATATTTTTTCAGTGATATATCGATATTCAAAATGTTTGGAATAATTTACATGCAAACATTGGGTATTTTCTTTTCTATTGTATTAAAGAGAAAATTAAAGTTATTAAAAGCCCGTATGAGCTCAGGGATGATTAAAAACGTCGGTCCGATTCGCCGATGTTTTCACAGATCTGCTGAGACTGAATCAAAATATGAAAACAACATGACTCCGTGGATTTAAAAATACACGAAGATGAATGTTTTTAAAAACATCTTCTCAAATACGTAGTCACAAGGACTTACCGTGAACTAAATGAGCCTCATAAACGTTGCTGCAGGAGTCCAGGCTTTCTTCAGAGAGTTTTCCTAGCATCTCTTTGGTATTTCGCAGTCGTTTATGAAGTAAATTCCAATAAAACTTTTTATCAAGCCCCCTACGGGCCGAACTATCAACCACACTGCGAGAACGATCCACCTGCTTTGATGAATCCTCCAAACATGCAAAACAACCGAAATATAGGCAAAATGGGTTGTTTCTTGCCACACACTACCATGATGCAATGCGAGAAACATGAATACTCATGTCACAAAAGGTCCTCCTATAGTCTGTTTGATGTATAGATGTTTAGTTTAATTTTCATGTTTTTTTAATTTTGTGATTCCTACTTTCTTCTCCCTGTGAGACTGGTGGAGAGGCACCCTAGCGCCCCCATTGTACGAGCCGCCACTGACTAATAAATGCCTTGTTTCCCCTCATGAAATAAGAGAAAGCTAAAAAATCTTTGATAACTAACATCACATATCTCCTATCATGCACACTTTAACCTTAAACATTATTTCTGCTAAATATGAGAATTTCTTCACTTTTAGTTAAGGCAGTTGTACAAAACAAACTGATAATCTCAAAAACTACACCTCAGACCTGTCATGTTTTTGACATTTAGAAAGAGTAGCTGTGGAGTTTGATGTAAAATATGTGCATGGGATGTAAAGTTATAGTCATTAAGAGTAAAAACTGATTATCTGATACTACATTTTGATGACAGTGTAAGCCGATAACGAACCTTCATAATATTTGTGATTTCTTCTAAAGTACTTATGAGTATTTCAATTATGTTCCTATGGTTCACTGAGAAACAATTTTTTACTTATTATTTTTGAGGCTGCACACGAAAATAGTCTCCTACACCTATCTCGGTGAAACTCTAGGATTAGAAAAGCCTGACAGATCTATGTCACACTGTCACTAACATTCATGGACTCACCCATCTGGACTCACGATGGGGAAGGCTGTTGTTGGTTTAGCATCCAGGAAACAGTAGAGAACGTCTCAGCTAGTAGATGCTAACCATTAGCATTAGCAACTCCACCACACAGCAGAACTCCTCCAGCCTTGTGTTATTTGTGGAGGTAAAAGTCCAATGTTGCAGAACAGAGTCAGTAGTAGAGATGTGTTGCTCTTAGCTAATCAGAGGAGAGATGTCCAAATATCAGTGAATACGACTCCAGATCCTGCCGTCTGACATTTCTATTTCCTCTGGATGAATTCTACATCCTCAAGCAGGTGCACCAGAGCTTTTTTTCCCCCAGAGTACGATTTCCAAGGCGTTCATTCCTACTAGAGATCACTGCAGATGTATTAAGGATATGAATAAAGTTGACATTTAAGTTACCAGCACAAGAACCTATCAGGCATCAGCACAGTCATTGTAAGCTGCATTTAAGTCGTTATTAGTCAGACTGTTGAAACCAGATCTTGTGACTGGTTCCTGAACATGTTTTCTCCTTTGCTCCTTCATGTGATTGATTTCTATGTCATCCTGAAAACAAGACATGCCTCACCATTGAACAAATAAATAATTAACCTTTGCCGATTCAGAACTTCTAGAGAACTCTCACAGGAAGCCAAACCTCTGGTTTGTTTCATTGCCAGATCAGACTCCGCATCCAAACAGCTCCTTCAAAAACAAGAATGTAGTTGTGTAACCATGAATGCATGTGTCGGTTACTTGTGAGAGTCGCTGGCTGACGTGTTTGCCTACCTAGAGTGAACGTTATCCCACTTCTGTGTTTGTAGACAAATTCAGAAGCTGCCACTGAGCTCGAGCAGTTCAGGACGGTAACCTCTGATGAAGGGCAATGTGTAAGATCTTCTCCATCACCACCTCCTCTGACGTGCTCTTCTCCTGGCTTCACTTCGCCACCTTCTCCACCACCTCCTCCCATCTTGCCTCAGAGTAAACCCAACTCTGTGTTTCAAATAAAAGCTAAAAGCTCCACGGACCCCGCCCTAGCTAGGGAAGCTATGCTGGAGGCTATTCGCTCTGGAGCTGGTGCGGGGAAGCTGAAAAAGGTAAAGAACGTACAAAAGTTTGTATGTTTTTAAATATTGTAAACGTGTCAAAAATGTTTTAAACGGTCTACTCTGAATTAACACTTCAGAATTTAGACTTAAAGGAAGTTAGAGATGTTTTGCTGTTTTCATCTGAATAAATCTCATCTTTAAATCTGAAAAAGTAAAAATAAATAAATAAATACTTGAAAGAAGTTAGGACACAATGAGGGAAGGACCCAAGGCAGCACCAGAGAAAGCAGTGAGATGAAACCGTCTTCTCTCATCTCACGGCTTTGATCTGGTTTCAGATGACTTCCTTCTGCAGTCCTGCACTCGGGAAACCTGAGAAGATTGTAACACTTGCAGAGCTTAGTATGACTGTCAGACGCTGCTGATGTAGGAATATTTTCAGAACAACAGAGTTGAGTTTTAGGTCAGAACTGGAACCTAGTGGAGGAATACAAACGTGACATGTTTCCTTTTTCACCAGGTCTCTGTGCCCCGAAAGACTGTCCAAGTGAACGGCAGACTGGGAACGATTCAGGCATCCTCATCAACGGTCCCTCAGCAGTAAGAAGGAGCATCCACGTCACAGAAACATTCTTGTTTTTGTTTTTTACAGCACTCTTAAAAGCCTTATAATAAATTAGGCTGAGTCAGTTTTTAGTTTTTGTACCTAAGCTGTTAGAAGCCTTATGTTTAAATGAATGAACAGCGGGTATGATTATAATTATTATCCACACTAATGCTTTTCTTCTTTTTAACACTGCTTATGCTGATTGTCTTTGTTAGTTTGTCTGTTAGAAGCCAAGCTTTTCTAATCTACAGACGATGTCACAGGAGAATGTTGTTAGATTACTTTCACCCACAAAACTGTTTCTTTTTACTTTTTGAAAATAATTGTAAACAAATTTATGGGAAAAAAATGCAATATTCTTGAATATTTCTTGCCATGTGTACTCAAACCCAGCAGTTGTAAGCAGAATTTAAGAAGAATGGGAAACGGTGCCAATAGAATGAAACTTAATGGTACAGAAGCCTTTTTTATTCTTGCCTTTACCACGACCTACGGGTGCCTTGCTCTGGTTTCCAGTCAGTGTTATGCATTTATGTTTGCTACATGGAGTCTAGAGTGCAATGACAAAACCAAATTCCAAATTTAAAGTATTAGATTTTTTAGCCAATGACGGTTACATTTTTACAGCAGCTAGATTCACTGGTAATGCTTCATTAAGATCGTTTCATGCAGGAACTGATGCATTATCACCATGGTTCCAGCTTGTTTGTGCCTGTTAGCTGATCTAATGTTTAGGCTTCTAACTTCAATTTGTTCTGCTGCTAAAATACTAACTATTGTCAATAATAGTTCATCTTTCACAAAAAAAAAAGTTTATTTTGGTGTTCTGCTGTTTTAAGCACTTTTGATTTACATATGTGATAGAGGCCACCATTTAAGATTTTCTTTTTATATTAAGTCAGTAATAATATTATGGAAATGTATATTATAGAAAATGAATGAGCAGTAATATGGAAGATTTTATGTTTCTCTAATTTAAGCATTTGCATTTTTTCCTTCTCCTTTAGTCAAAATGATCTTGTGGAGGAGCTAAGGGAGACCTGATGTTGCCATTAAATGGCACTCAGTGGCTGTTAATGAAGAATAATGGGCTGAATCACCTTTAGAATGAACTTTGAGCATTTGCATTCAGGTATAAAAGTTTGCTGCTGTTATTAAAGGGGTTTAAGTTTATATAGAGGTTTTTTTTCTCCTAAAGGTAACACTGCATATTGGTTTCCTCCAGCCTACAGCACAATATTGCATTTTATTTAATCTTTTGTAAAAATTAGACTTGATTTATATCGCCAGTAGAGTGAGCATTTTATAAACTATTGCCTTTGTTTCCTTTTTGGAGAGTTGCTCAGTTAAATTTGTTTACCTTTCTTTTTTGATCCAATAAATAATTTTGTAATCAAGCAAAAAAACTGAGCTGTTTTTGTTTTTCTTCCATGTTTTTCTTTGAAGCTCTTAGAATGTGAATAATACCCTGAAGTGCTGATGCCTGTTTCAGTGCCGTGGTGGTCTGAGCACCGTGCCTTGTGAACTTCTCTGCCACACCACAAATGAGCCACTATTCCAGGCAGCAGCTTGTGGCCTTGACTCACCGCTATGTGGTCATCAGAAAAATCACGTTTTAGAAACAGATCCTGGATTTCTGATTCTTTAAACATTAGTCACCACTTCACTCTACCTTTCCTCAGATTCAAATAAATGACTCAGATTTACACAATAAATCTACAAATATGTGTGCCATCTGTTTTAGAAAGATGAATTAAAAATAACTTATTTTACTAGGCATTGAACTAAGCTGTTTTCTGTTGGACTGGGTCACTGCAGAGGGCCGATCTCAGCCAGGTTAGTCCGAGAGAGCAGGAACCTCGGGCTCTTGGTGGGTTAAGTCATTCTCAGTCTACAGCCTTTCTAATCTGCCTTGGGTGTGTATGTATGTGTGGGCGGGTGTCTATTTGTGGGCGTCTGTGTTGCAGATCCAAACAATTTTCACTATAAAACCCACATAAATACTCCAAGACAAGAATTACCAGAAGGCCCCACCTCATAATGCAACAGAAATATGCTCATTCAGGTTTAGCTCGGGTTTGGTCTTTATTTGATCAAAGTATAAATTTGTTTTATGCGCTGCCACAATTTAGCAAGAATGCTTGAGCCTGGAAATTAAGATTGCATGTGTCACTTTACCAAAACGCCACACTTACTAATAAAATGTTTGTACTTTTTGTTGGGATGTGGGTGTGTAGACAAGAAATCAAGTTTTCCTTCTATCAAAACAAGCAATAAACAATCAAAAGGGCATTACGTTCTTTTATTGGCAGCTTTTACTCCATGCACATTCGCCCACAGTTTTACAAGACACTTAAGAGAAAGCCATTCACTAATTGCTTGAGTTTATATGACTTCACTTTAATTAGTCCTGACTGAACAACGTGTAGGTGATGGTGAAAGTGGCATCCACATCATTGGGGCTTACGCAGCTTACATATTTTATGAAATTTTATATTTGTTTTATGATCTTTGATTACGACTGACAGAATGTGTGCAGGTATATGTGTGTGTGTCCTAGAAGATGCAAACGCTGGACCTGTAAGTGTCTATGCAATGGGAGACCTGTTACGATCCAGACCAAGCCCATGATTGGTGCCCAGATGCACACAAGGCTCCGATAGCCTTTCACTGGCAAAATGAAAAATAAATTAGGTGATTATTGTTCCAATGTGTTACGGATGCCAGGCTGGTCTGTGGAGAGAAGGAGCCAGGATCGCCCAGCTCTGGTGAAACAGCCTGGCACCGCCCCTCCTCCTCTCTCCCGGGCTGCTGAGGAGCACAGCTGCGAGGAATCATCATGATGAGCAAACAAAAGGGCTGTGCCTTCAGCAGTGTGGGAGGCAGCAGTGCAGGGGTTCTGCTGTCCTCATGGGTTTTGTTTGGTTTTAACCCCTTTTTGGTTGCATTCGTTTGGATTCGTTGGAGTTTTAAACTGGTAGTTTTTAACTCTTGGTGATAAGTTCTTTTTTAAAGGTTAACTGTATTTGGTGCAATTTTACTGACTTTGGTTTTTAAACATCTTCGTGTGGTAAAGCTTTTAAATAAGCTTTTACCAGGTGTTTTAATCAGTCAATTGTTTGGGACTTTTTATCAATTTTGGGATTTTAAAACACCTTCTGCTCGGTTAAACTTTTAATATAAGTTTTAACCAGGTGTTTTATAGTTGTTAATTTGGCTGTGTAGTGTTAACCTTTTTAGAGAGATCTGTTTGCTTGTGGTGTAATACCTTTTTGTTACAAATAAACCCATTTTAAACTCCTCTGCCAGTTCTTCTGTTACCCCCCATCCTTCACATTTCTACAACACCTGTCGGGGACGTAACACAATGAATGTGGATAAGCTGAGTACTGATGGAGATGTGTATACATCAAGATTACAGTTTTATACTAAAATGTGGTTTTTGGAAAGTTCTCTCCACCACAGCACTTTTCTAAACAGCTGTCAGATGGCATAGGAAGGGAGACTCGAGGAGTAAAGGTGAAGATGCTGCAGGTGGGCTTACAACTAAGAAGGACCTACAGTTGTTACAAGTTTATATACTCATCTTTGACATGAATGTCATTAATCTGCATTAGGAAAGGCTATTTCTAAACTGGTGCACAGGTTTGAATTCATAAGGATTTTTTGGAGATGCATATGGGCTCAGATAGAGTAATGTACCCCCACTTTTATTTGGTTAAATGTCTTTTATGTTTATGTTTTGTTTATTTAGCAGACGCTTTTATCCAAAGCGACTTACAATTTATAACCTATAGGGCATGTTGTGTACTTTTAGCAAATTGCAACTTGGCCACAGATATTTTTGTATTTTGTAGTCATCAGCAGGCCTCTGGCTGGGTATTTGATTACTTTCATTTCCAGAGATCATTTAAATTGGTGGATTTCTCTGCACATTTTGTTTTTAAGCATACTTCACAGATTTTCAATCAAGATCTGGGTTTAGCTTGGGGAAGACCGTTTGGGAAGTTTATGCTGCTTTCTGCATTTAGGAAGTATTAACCATCTAGAGGATGATATGAGGTGAATTTGATAGTAACTGAAGTAGCACTCCTGTTTTATTGTCCATCCACTGTTGACATGATGCTAACTCCACCGTGCTTGATGGTTGGGTTAGTTTGTTTTGGGGGGTTTGAACGCCTTTCCTTGACTCTCTCTTAACGCACTTGTCCCGTTACGTCTTATCTGTCTATATATTTGAAGAGGATTATTTTAAACAGGGTCTTAAATTGGCTTTTCCAAATTTAAGGCCTTAAAAATGACAAATAATCCTTAAATACAATTTCCAAAGATCTTAAATTACCAAAGACCCAATAAACAAGATTCTTTTATTTCTTTAAAAATTTCGTAAATTTCTAGTTTGTGTTCAGCATTTTTTGTGTATGATATTGGCATAAGCGGAACCATCTACATTGAGTGAAAGGGGGCTCTTTTTAGATGAGCACATTAGCTGGTTAAGCTAGTGGGAGCTTGAGCCATGGGAAAGTGCAAGTTTAATGGTAACTGGATGGCTAATCCCACGTTTGCGACGTTCCAGGCAATAGCTGGAAATTATAGCTTAAATTTAATTTTAAAAAACTGCTTAAATTTGGTCAAAGTGGCCTTAAAAAGGTATTAAAAAGGCTTAAATTTGGCTCCCTTAAACCTGCAGATACCCTGTTTAAAGCAGGAGTTTTTTCATGTTATTTGATTAATAAAATATTTAGAAGAATGCATTTAGGGTGACTGTACAGAGAAAACAATCTACCAATTTAGACTTGTGCACCCAATTATTTTCAAAATAAAACATTAAAGCATACATGTGCCCCTATACCTTGCCATAAGAATACAGCTGTAAATAAAATGCCAAAACTGATACCACATCCATTTACTTGATCAGTGTGTGTAGTTTTGGGTACCTGTACTTCTAAAGTATAATGGTGTATGTTACACAACACTCAAGCTGACTGCATGTTTGATGTTGATCTCAAGTAGTGAAAAACACTGGAAGGTCTTTTGCAATGCACCAAAATGCTCAGAGGGATGAAAACATAAGTTATGATTCAACTGATGCAATGAGATTTAAGTCTATTGGGCAATTTTCAAACCTTCTGGCAAATTTTGTTTTTATTGAAGATTGCCCTTGTCAGAACAAGATGTTTTTTTTAAATAAAGATTGACGTGTAGATCTTAGCCTTAAGCCTCTTGTGTCCCACAAAGCCTCCCAGGTGCACTATTTTTGTTGTGCAAAGGAATTAATTCCACATAATATTCTGTAATTATAAATTGGATAAAACCGACAAATTGATAAATGCTACAGTGGATGTACGTGATCTTTGATTTATCAGTGACAAGAGTTTTGAAAAAGCAGATTCTTGAAAATAAGGAAGTAAAAGGCAACAACAATGGCGTTGTGGGTTTAGATAAAGATCCCATCTTTTTAGTCAGTACTCCAAAAGCTACTTATTCAATGGCGGCAGGCAATCAGTGTCCAGCTGTGTTTTACGATCCTGCAAATGCATGATGAAGACTCTGATAATGGAAACAGTTTTGATATTTCTTGGGATAAGTATTGATTTACAGGTCCTCAAAAAATTTACATATTGTGATGAAGTTCATTATTTTCTGTAATGTACTGATAAACATTAGACTTTCATATCTATTAGATTCATTACACACAACTGAAGAAGTTCAAGCCTTTTATTGTTTCTAATATTGATGATTTTGGCATACAACTCATGAGAACCCAAAATTCCTATCTCAAAAAATTAGCATCCTTTTGCTAATTAGTCCTTTTGTTCCCCAAAATGGCACAACGTATCTTAGCCAAAATATACATTAACATAAAATAACTCAGCCAAATAACAGATGATCAGCTGTTGTGGTTCATAGCTGAGATGAGTACTAGCAGTTAAACCAACTCTGTAAACCCAGAATAGAAAACAAAGAGTTTTTTATGGAATTGTCTAAATCTTTTTGAGACTAAAGCAAACATAACTTGGAGGACAAAGTATTAGAAAACATATTGACAGAAAGTGAACTCAAGACTTTTCAGAAACCTTGTAAAACCCCTTCTCATCCATGAGCCCCTTGGTGTGGGCGTGGCTTAAAGCGAGGGGCGGGGTTGTTTTCGCGCGTGTCCGTGCGTGTGCCCTCCTCCTTGGGCTGCATGAGATGAGCTGCCCTGCAGTCCTTGCTGCCACTGTTGTTTCCTGCTCCTGCCTGTCTGTCCAGTCTGAGAATGTTGACCAGCGAGGCCTGACCGAGCGCCGGAGCGTCTCTTCGTCTTTCAGCCTCTGTTCGGTTCTGACCCGGAGGATCGTTGCCTGCCTGAACTGATCCGGCTTTGAGGTGGGTTACCGGTCTGGTTTAGTACTCCTATTCAAATGTT